CCCTTTTAAAACTGAATGCCTTTAACAGTACCCAGGTCACCTCTTGAATGCTTTGCTGCTTAGAAATTTCTTCCACCAAATACCCTAAATCATCTCTCTCAAGTTCAAAGTTCCACAAATCTCTAGGGCCAAAATGCCACCAGTCTCTTTACTGAAACATAACGAGTCACCTGTGCTCCAGTGGATGGACTTGATGCTCTCAGGGTAGCAGAGGAAGTTATTTTAAGTGATTGGAGGCCCTACTGTAAGCTGCAGTAGCAGAGAGAGGAAAGGAGAGTTGGGGGTCTGACTCCTGCTCTTGTATCTCCTACTATTGTCACCTCCCAGCTGTATGAGCTTGGGCCGTGGTTTAACTTTCCCTGTATCACAGTTTTACCTCTGAAAAGTGGGGTAGTACAATGATTCTGAGCTCACAAGCTACTATGAAGATTAAATGAGTTAATACATGTAAAATCTGTAGAACATAGTACCTAACATGGTATAAATATCAACTAGGAGCAAGAGGCTAGGCTGGCAATGAGGGAAAGTGCTTCTCAAACGCGCAGTGCTTCTCAAACGTGAATGAGAATATGACCCCTGGGGGATCTTGCTAAAAAGGAAGATTCTGATTTTGTGGGTCTAGGTGGGGCCCAAGATTCTGCATTTCTAACAAGCTCCCTCCCCGGTGCTGCTGTTGCCCCATCTATGGGCTTCACTTGGAGGGGCAGGGTTGTAGCAGCACTGATGGCCCATCTGGGAGTGCCTGGTGGTCATCTGTAATGGCATCACGCACACTTGACTGGTGTTCTTCTTGGCTGTAGTTCAGGACTAGAGAGTACATGTTGGGGCTGACCCCAGGGTTTGCTTCTCAAGTGTGGATTGGATAGGAAGGTTCATCTGGCCAGGGGACATGGGGACATTGAGTACTAGCAGTTGCAGCATCTGGAGTCAGCTGTGGGTGCCAGGCCTTGCATGCTGAGGAGTAGAGCCAGGAGGGGGCTGGTGGAAGGGCAGGAGAAGACAGTGAGGCCAGGCAGTAGGTATAGGATGGAGGTGCCGAGAGAGGTGATGGTCAGAGAGGAGCAGTGTCAGTGTATGAATTATGGAGACAGTAAAATACTTACTGCTAAAGTCTTACTGAGTCACATTTTTTTAATGTTTCATGATTTAGAAGGCTTTTTGTTTTCTTGGCAGTGCCTCAAGTACATGATAAACAGCAATTAATTAGAAACATTTTTTATACTTTTCATCAGTAGTATGCCTGGTAAAATGTCACTATGTGTTGCTTTCTGCTGGTGCAGTACGTTCTTGGTAGGTGGACCTGAGGCTGGTGGGCTCCCTGGATCGCTTGAGTTTCAACTGTAGTCAGCGTGCCGTATGTTCAGCAGGTGGAGGAGAGGCTGTGAGTGCAGGATTCCCACCGAAGGGGTAAAAATCACTCCAAGGAGATTCCCAAGTCCCATTTCCAGGGAGAAGTTAATGTGGCAGTGGGAGAAGCTAGTGGGTGCTTTTTTTTTTTTTTGACGGATGGACATGCCAGATTGAGACAAATTCTACTAAGTTTTGGTCATTATTTCTTTGGGTCACATTCCTCTTTTGTTCAGTAGAGTGTTAGAGTCACACACTTGCATTTCTGACGTATTTAGCATGCTCTTATAGAAACTTTACCTGCTGGTTCTTCATATCCTTCCTCCCAATTCCTGTGTCAGGGGCCAGGTGCCTCCTTTGAGTTGCATGGGGATGGTACAACTGTATTTACAGACAGCTCTCATTTAGAGGTGCAGCACTGGAGTGACAGGTCAGACCGCTTTAGAGACTGTTGTCTACATTCCTGCCATCTCCTCTCTGTGGCTGCTCGTCCTAACCCTGCCCAATGGCCACCTACATCTTGCGTGTTGGCCACCAGCAGTGGCCAGGAACCATGCTTCTGCTTTGTTCCTCTGGCTGAGCCTGCCTTCTTTTCTTGTGGGAATCAGAACTTGAGTGCATTTATTTAATGGGTTGTCATTAAAAATCACATTTAGATAAAGAGAAGAAAATATAAAACGTTTTCTAACCTCACTACTGCCAACTGTGACCTGAAGAATTTGTGAGATTATGAATTCCTGTAGGTATCACTTAAATTGAGCTTGTTTCTCTGAGAAGCAATGGATTTTTAAAAATCCCTGTCAGAGAAAATAGAGAATAAATTCATTCTACCACCTCTTGGCTTTACTAAATGAGCAAATCATTTAGTGGAACAAGAGCAGTATAATAACCAATGAAATTAGAATTCCAAGGGCAAATAATCTCCATTCTCGTCATTGTAGTGGGTGAGGGGAAGATGAAAGCTTTTCTACACTTTTCTTTGTTTTGAAGTTTTAACTTTGCAAGGTATTATTCAGTTCCCGAATAAGACCATTTGCTAAACTGTGTGAAACTTAGTTGGCTCTAAAAGATAAAACTTGTTTCTCATCATCCCTACAAATTCCCTACAAGAATGTAACTTTGTAAAATTGATTTCTGGTCTCTTTGGTAGACATCAATGTCACATAAATCCACCATGAAACCTGGGTTTCAAATTATGCTGCAAGTTTATTCCTAGGAGTAAGCTGAGGGGACATTCTCAAAGGCAAGTTAGTATTCTTATTCTAGTGACAATTTTACCAGTACTATTCCCTACATTGGTTTTTTAATGTTCTTTCTCTTAATTTGGTCAACATTTGTGTATTTATTTGTTTAACCAATGTTTATTGCTTAAAGGCACATCCCGCCATTTATTTCAATGTCTAGAGCTATCATCCTAGACATTTTGTTTTATCTTTCTCTCTTCCAGCAAATAAAACAAACAGAGGAACAGCCAGGGCTCTAAACTAAAATGAAAATGGAAGCGGATGGGCCATTTTATTGTTTATAGTTGGATTCTGCTTGTGGAAATGAAACTGACAGAGCTTATAAACATAGAGCCAGAGGGGGAAAGGACGTAAACTAAATTTTAGGATGTTAATCTGGACTCTTTCTGGAAAAGAGTATTTCCTTAGTGTAATCTCTTGGGTGAGTACTTAAACAATACTAATTCACCAACTATCCTTGGGTTCTACAATTTTAGTAGAGATAGAGTTTAATTCTGTGTCTGATAGATAATTTTACTTGTCTTTTCACTTCTTAGTTGACAGTATGTTTTGTAATAGACGTGGCTTTAAATTCTTCCTTTTAAATGTAGTCATTAACGTATGTTTCTCTATGTTGCTACCACCATGATCAGCGTTGCTAAGAAAATAATTCATTGTATTGTATATGTCAACAGAAAATTATTTTCCTTTAGCAATTTCTATAGGCATTAAAATGAGCAATCTGTTCTGCAAATCCTGAAGTGCATTTTGGCATTTTTTCTGTAGTACTTTGCCAACATCTATAAGCACCATTAAAATCACCATCATTAGAAAAAACTTTTAGAACAACTCAAAATGCAAGTGGAAGAAATATCTGATGCCAAGCCCAGACGGGGTTTTACTAAGTACTATTTCAAAGATAAATTAGTTAAAAAAAAATTTGGGGGGTGGGAAAAAAATCTTTTTTTTTAAAAAAAATAGCACAACTATTTGCAATTACGAAAAAGTACATTGCACTTTCTTTCTGACTTTCTGTGTTGGAGCTCAAATCTTCTAGACCAACTGGTCGGGATTACTTTTACAGGTTCTAGATGGTAAGGCCCTCAAATCAAAGCCAACCCCAGCATGCATTTTTTATGACTTCACGTTGGTCTGACATGTATACTAAACTTAAATATTTAAATGTAAGTTCTGTGCTGTTTCCCTTGGTTTCACTGAAGCTCCTGTGATACAACTAAATAGTGTCTATTATAAAAAGTAGGCTTTCTTCACATCGTAGTCTTTCAGTCTTCAAAGGACATTTTTCGATAACTTCTTGCTGGCGGTTATCATTCAGTGGCATAAGGAGAGTCACATTTGAGTGGGAGTCTGAGGCTTTGTTTCTCACCTTGCTTTGCCTTCATTACTGCGTGATCTGGGGTCACGTTCTGGGCCTTCATCTCCTCATCTGTAAAATGAAGAGGTTGCTCTCGATTGTCTGGAAGCTCCCTTTCCACTTGAAGTTTCTCTGAATCCTTGGACCACGGCTGTTAACGTTCACATCATGTTCATCTGCTACAGTGCTTTGTTTAATTACATCTCAGTACGTTTTTTAAGCAAATTACTTTGGTCTCACAGGCTCATTCTCAGTCATCCTGTCCTTTTAAAAGTTTTGCTTTTCCAACCACAAAGACATTTGGAAAGCTTGCCCTATGGATTACATCTCTACCCTACCCTAGCTCAAAACAATTTGAAATAATGGGGAAGACTGATTATAATCTAGACACTAGCATGGCTGCTGATTATCAAGCTGTGTTCCTAGCAATCTCACAAGTCTCATAAGTGCTACAAAGTGTGTTAAGAATGGTCTGGTGCTGTTTTGTTTTGTTCAATTAGATTGAGCAGAATCCTGGGGAAATAAGCATAATGTCAGGTTCCGCAAGAGAGTGAGGTGGCAATAGAAGGGTGTTTGCTTTGTTGTCTTAGGTTTTTAGATCGCCAATACCCATAGTCTAGTACGCTTCATTAGGCTTTCTGATTTCTCTGCCTTTGCTCAGTCAGCAGGACGTTGCTTGCATGCACTTCCTTAGGCAATTTGAAGCCTACCACATGGCATTTTATATATGGCAACTAATACAGTGTTAACTGAAGTAAACGTGAAAAATGAGCTTGATCCTTAATTGCTTATGTGTGCAATGTTCTTCCAAAATATTTTGTTTTTCATGTATATAGTAATGCATTTCAAAAAACACAGCATTTTTGGAAAGAGGATGAGTTTGGGAGTCGGAGGCTGTGTAGTCTTTTTGGATCTTGACCTCTAGCTATCCCTGAATTCACAGCCACTCAGGTTATTTTCAGGTTGGTGTGTATGCTGTATAACCCAAGTTGCAGCACCAGTGAAATGGTTCACATTCGACTAGTGAAGAATTGTGTGGGCTTGTTTTGGTTCAGGTAAGAAGAGTTCCTGGATCAAGTGGTCACCTTCATAAAACCGAAGATGGGGACTGGGAGTGGAGTGACGATGAGATGGATGAGAAGAGCGAAGAAGGGAAAGCAGCTTTTTCTCAGGAAAAGGTAAATGACATTGTTGATGATGAGCTCATCTGTGTAAATTTTATTTTTGTGATCGTGTGTGTTATATATATTAATGGATACGTAATTGTTTTACAGTCACGAAGAGTAAAAGAAGAAAATCCAGAGGTGAGCTGCAGCTATTTATCTATTATTTTGCCATTTAATTTCTTTCTTGGGGTATCAGAGTCTGATCCATTTAGGGGAGATGCTTCAAAATCTCACAGAGTAGAAAGAAAGAGGAAGGGCACGTGGACTTTGCAGCTCTTGATTCTGTCTGACTTACTTTGGGCTGAATAAATCCGGGCAAATTGCTTTCTGAGCCTGTTTCCTCATCTGTCAGATGAGGATGATCCCAGTACTTATAATAAAGTTGCCATGAAGATTGGCAATCACGTACACAAAACCCTCCCTGGAATCCTTGACACAGACTAAGTAATCAATTAATTTTAACTCTTAGGATTACTGCCTTTAGAAAACATAGTAAGCATACAGGCAAAATGTTTTCCGTGGTTTTTGTTTGCAATGAAGTAGATATTAAAATGGTTAGAAACTCTTGGTTGAATCTGTTGGTCTTGGTTTTTAAATCTTCTGAATGATACCTTAGTAGGTTAAGGAGCACTCAAAAAATTTTAACAGCTTCCCTTTGAGGCCTGGTCATCTTTTGATTAAGAGATCGTATTTGATTTACTTCCTCCATCTGGTTAATTATCCTAATGCCTAATGACTAATGATAACTGTAGTTCACAAAACCTGCTAATTCTCCTAGAGGAAATTTGAGCATATTTAAATAGCTCCAGATATTTTACAGACCTAGTAATTAATGCATACCTTAATAAATTCTCATTAAGAAAACAAAAAAACTTTGGGCTATAAATGATATCCATCCCAATTTTTTTTAATTAGCAGACATTTCCTTTTGATTAAATGTAGTACCTCTCATCATTGAGTTTGAAGTGGCAGTAGCCAGCTGGGTCTTGTAAGGAAGAGGGCAGCAGAGCCACAGGCCACCCTTTCTTCTCCTTTTCTTTCCTCTCACCCTTCTGTCTCCATCTTTCATGCCATATGGATAGGCCTTTCCTAGGCATTTTCCAGCTTGCCTGCCTCCCCATGGTGGCTCTCCTTCAGATTTTGTTTTCTCTTCTGTTTATCATTTAATTCACCTCTCCATTTCATACATAAAATATAAACTTTGGCCAGGTGCGGTGGCTCACTCCTGTAATCCCAGCACTTTGGGAGGCCGAGTCGGGCGGATCACGTGAGGTCAGGAATTCGAGACCAGCCTGGCTAACATGGTGAAACCCTGTCTCTACTAAAAATACAAAAATTAGCTGGGCGTGGTGGCAGGCGCCTGTAATCCCAGCTATTTGGGATTATGAGAATCGCTCGAACCTGGGAGGTGGAGATTGCAGTGAGCTGAAATTGTGCCACTGCACTCCAACCTGGGTGACAGAGCCAGACTCCGTTTCAGAAAAAGTGTGTGTGTGTGTGTGTGTGTGTGTGTGTGTGTGTGTGTGTATATATATATATATGCTTTGATCAGAGACCTCATCGCCCTTTGTTAGGAGCAGTGGTGATGAGCCCCACATGGAACACATTGGCTACACCGATGTTGTGCTGTTTTCAGAATGATCTTAACCACGTATCATGAACTGTGCTTCTCCTTCCTTTCTCTCATTTTATCTAAGGTACAGAGTCTAGGCTTTTCTGCTGTTTCTAAGAGTATCTCTTACTAAAAGTGTCAGTTCTGCTGAGAAATAGAACAAAATAACATGGTTAAAGTAGCATCATCGACTCACAAAGCATTTGTTATTCACTGCAAGAAATCTTCATTGGACGATATCCATTGGATCCTGCCTTGCTAGTAAGGCTGGTGGGTACAGGTCATAAGGATTTAAGATAATCTCTCACTGTGTGCTTGTTGAAATTGCTCTGAAAGCTGATTTGTTATTTGGAGAATAGCAGTATCTTTTTGGCAAGAATATTTTCTGCACAGACAGGAAAGGAAAGACTATGTAGCATGCTGTGAGTTGATCTTCAGGCATCAGTTCTGACCTTCTTAAGTGGGATATGAAAGTCGTAGGTGGTTTACTGCATCTAGACTCATTTGATTTCTCAGCGCCGTATGTCTGTTAATGTATTGATTTATAATTAAAGAAGCATATGAATAGACCTCTTATTTCATTGAAAGGATACATGTGTTTGCATGTAAACACTTCCACCAAATTTTAGGAATAACAAGCCCCACCTGTTACTGTACAGCTTCTCAGGCTAGATTTTTGATACCTGTTCCTTTGACAGCCTTGACATTTGATTATCTTGAGCTGTATTAAGAGATACTACAGTGATGCTTCCTGTGTCCTTTCAGCTTTTAATTAAAGTATCCCTTTGCCAACTACCCCAAACTGCTTTCTGTAAGCAAAGCATGAAGTATTTATCTATTATAAAGGAAATTAAAAAGTGTTAAATATGTAAATACTCAGCAAATATGTATTATGTTCCTACTATGTGCCCTGTCTTAGTAGGTTTAAGGGATACATCAGTGAGAAATACAGAGCAAAATCCCTGTCCTTGTGAAGCTCACATTCTTATGGGAGTAGGTAAACTATATAATAGCCTTAATAAGGAAGTAAATTATGTGGTTTATTACAATGGAATAGGAGTGATAGAAAGAAACAATGGGATGGGGGCTTCAGGGAGTGTGGTGGAAGGTTATAATTTTAGATGACTTGGTCAGGATAGGCCTTACTGAGAAGAGACAAAGAATAATTATTTGAAAATCATAGGAGAATGACATAGAATAAAAACTGAAAGACCACTTTTATACTGCTCCCCTTTTCACTCCTGTGACTGTCACTTCGTTCCACAGAAGTCATCCGTTTGAACAGTTTTCTTCCAGACCTTTTCTGTTTCTTTCCGTACTAATATGTTCGTTAAAAAAATCTAGCATGTCATTTTAAAAACACGAATGGAATTATAAAAACTAGAAAATATTTTTGCAACTTGCTTGATTGTTTTGGCAATCTTTCCACCTTAGGAACTATCGATCTGCCTCTTTTTTTATTTACTGGCACATAGTATTGTATTAGATGAATGAAAATTGTTTATTTAACCATTTCCTTCTTGGTGAGCACTTAGGCTGCTATTACAAACATCATTCCCTTTTTTGTGTATGTATTTCAGGGGGCACATAGATAAGTAAATCATAGGTACTTAGATTGTGATTGCTTTGTTTCTGTGTCTGCTGATTTTGAATTTCTGTAGTTTTTATCAATAGCTGTACCAATCGGTATATACGGCTTCTGACGGAGCCCCTTATACCTGTCAACATATTTGAGAGTGAAAATGCTTATCTGTGCCAAATAACACATTTAAATGCCAGAGTATTTACATTTTAATAAGCTTTTTCGTGTTTGTCATTACATTGCAATTCAGTTGTTTTTCGACTATACGCCACCAGAAGATTGAGATAGTATTTTATGAAAAAAATGAAAAACGTGAAAGTTTGTGTTTCTTTTGCATCTAGTAGACACTATACATGTTCACTGATGACATGAATTGGGTATGCACTGCAAGTCAAATATTAAACAGGTGCATGAGTAGGCATATATTATTTATAAGTAGGTCAGAAGTGACCCGAGGGATCAGAAGACATATGATTGAGGTGAAGTTCAGAAAAGTAGCTTTGTTAGTACCATGTTTAGACAGAGTAAGGTGCTACAATGAACTAGGGATATTTTAGGAATGCTTAATGAGTAAGGGGCTGTTTGTCCTCCCAGTAAGTGTGAGGTAGAATGTCCAAGTATTGCAGTATTAATTGGAGAAGACTCAGAAGGCCAGAGTGGGATGTTTGTCAGTCAGAGGGACATTGAGAAGATCCACCTTATCCTGGGCCGTATTTGGAGATCCTCCTAAGTCCAAGAGAATTTCCAGTATAATCTGTAAGATTTTAGAGTTGCAGTACTTATCTTGGGATTCAGATCTGGCTTGAGATTCATAGCCATCCACATTGAAAAATTGGCCCTGTGTTCCTAACACTTTATACTGATACTTTAGAAATATCAGAGTATTTAAAAAGGATGAGTTCGTGTCCTTTGTAGGGACATGGATGAAGCTGGAAACCATCGTTCTGAGCAAACTATCGCAAGGACAGAAAACCAGACACCACATGTTCTCACTCATAGGTGGGAATTAACAATGAGATCACTTGGACACAGGGCGGGGAACGTCACACACCCCGGCCTGTCATGGGGTAGGGGGCAGGGGGAGGGATAGCATTAGGAGATATACCTAATGTAAATGACGAGTTAATGGGTGCAGCAAACCAACATAGCACATATATACCTATGCAACAAACCTGCGTGTTATGCACATGTACCCTAGAACTTAAAGTATAATAATAATAAAAAAAGAAATATCAAAGTATTAGTCACCCACTAGTACTTAATAATTTATAGTAAGTGGATAGCTCATCCTCATTTCATTTATTTATCATCATACTCTACTTGGTTGATGGAAGCCAGTGAAGACTAAAGGTTAATAATAATGCTAATATTAATAACAATTAATTAAACAGATGTTTAGTCTGTGCCTGATTTCCACGTGGAACTGTGTTAGGCAATGTGGGAATTTCATAAAAGCAAAGGGAGCCCACTAGCTGGACACTTTTCATCTCTTTGGGGGTCAGGGGAAGGGGTGGTATTTGCAAGGACAGTTTCCTTAGGTAGTGTTTCTTAGTTACATAAAACTTTTCAACTGTTATCCCATTATGTTTTTGTCAAAAATAGTAAGTACATGTTTTATGACTTTTTGTCAATTTTGCATTATATCCTTATTTTCCACATAAAAAGTGAAATTGACTTTATTTTTAAATTTGTAGTTTCATTTGGGTTCATTTAACTGAGGAGGGCATTTGCTAAGGCTTCCATTAAAGTTGCATTCTTTTTTATAGTAGCATCTCAGTTAGGTGACATGAAAATAAACAATTCACAACCCTGACTGGAAACCTTTAAAAATGCAGTGTCTAGACTCAACCCACAGATTCTGATTTGGTAATTTGGGGTGATGTCCAGGCAACTCTTGATTTTTAAAAAGCTGCTCACAGGATTCTGATTCACAGCTAGGATCAAGGACTGGCTAGGAAAACTGCACAAATCCCTCGGAATCCGGAAGTCCAGACTGGAATCCAGGAAACTGGTGTGCTCAAAATTCCTAAAGATTTGTTTTAAATGTCTGTCAGAAATTTCCAAAATAAAAATAAGAAAAAAGAAAATGTTTCAGAAATCCCTTGGAAAAGTTGTCTTTATTTAATCAAGGGTAATGAAGCAGGTGGGAAAGGTTTCTGGCTGAAGCCCAGTAGGGTTCACAAAAGGTACATTGAAAAGTTTTGTTATCAAGACTCTAGACTTGGCTAATTATGGAAATGTTTCTGTTTCCTAACTCTGGGAGTTTGCTCTGAGGAGAAAATACATTTGGTATTTAAATTGAGTTAATTTTATTAGAAATTAATTGCAATGTGAAAACTAATTTTTCCCTTATATTACTTATTGCTATTGTCACATTTTATTTAAGACTGCTGTTAGCTTTTAAAAATTATTTTTATGGGCCAGGCGTGGTGGCTCATGCCTGTAATCCCAGCACTTGGAGTCTGACGCGGGTGGATTACCCGAGGCCAGGAGTTCGAGACCAGCCTGGCCAACATGGTGAAACGCTGTCTCTACTAAAAATACAAAAAATTAGCTGGGCGCGGTGGCATGTACCTGTAATCCTAGCTACTCAGCAGGCTGAGGCAGGGAATCCCTTGAACCCAGGAGGCGGAGGTTGCAGTGAGCTGATACACGCCACTGCATTCTAGTCTAGGCGACTGAATGAAACTCTGTCTCAGGGAAAAAAAAATATATGTGTGTGTGTGTGTGTGTGTGTGTGTGTGTGTGTATTATTTCTATGAAAACATGTTTTCCAAATGCCCGTACGCTGTCAAACATGTTTGTTCTATACCCATATGGAGATGGAGAGAGAGATTTGATTTCTCCCTCCACTTTTATTATGGTTATCCTTAGTCATCACAGACTGCTTTAACCTGATATTTTCATGATACCACTTTCTAAAAGATGTGGTTATTGCAGGTGACTGCCCTTCTGAGTAGTTGTGAGGAAAGGTAGATATGTTACCAGAAATCTGCAGTATATCTGAAAGTGAACTTCCGATTTTGGAATAATTTTCGGTTTATAGAAACGTTGCCGAGACAGAGCAGAGTTCCCATATACTCTTAACACAGTCTCCCCCACTGTTGATTTCTTATGTAATCCTGACAAATTTGTTACAACTCAGAAACCAGCGCTGCTGTGTGACTGTTAACTAAGCCCCAGAATTTATTCCAATGTCACTAGTTTGCCTACTAATGCCCCTCGTTTTTGCCAGGATCCTATCCAGGATAGCACATTGCATTTAGCTATAATATTTGCAAAAGCAGAAAAGGAGTTTGTTAGGCAGAGCTCTATGAAAAGTTGGAAAGCAGATGTTGTCTCTTTCTTGTCTCCATCGTGAGATCTTTTCCTCTCTTATCCTGTTCTAAATCCCCATCAAAGTCTATTGCCATGGTGGTGTTCAACATTAATTCATTGTTTTTGCCTCCTCCTCTGATATGGTTTGACTGTGTCCCCACCCAAATCTCATCTTGAATTGTAACTTTCATAATCCCTACATGTCATGGGAGGGACCTGGTGAGAGGTAATTGAATCATGGCGGCGAGTTTTCCCATGCTGTTTTCACGATGGTGTATAAGTCTCATGAGATCTGAGGGTTTTATAAAGGGTAGTTCTACTGCACACACTCTCTTGCCTACTACCATGTAAGATGTGCCTTTGCTCCTCCTGTGCCTTCTGCCGTGATTGTGAGGCCTTCCCAGCCATGTGGACCTGCGAGTCCATTAACCTCCTTTTTCTTTATAAATTACCCAGTCTCGGGTATTTATTCATAGCAGTATGAAAGTGGACTAATACACCTTCCCATCAAAACACTCATTCTCTCAAATGTCCATCCTATAGCAAATTGTTTAAAAGGAAAAGAAAAACCCTGATAAATTGACAGCTGCGTAATGTGTTAGATTTCTTACAAGTTTTTACACTTAGAAGAGTATACCCAAAAGACCATGCCCTAATCCCATAGAATGGATCTGTAGTAGTGACATTTGGAGGAATACAGTTTGTTGTCAAGGAAGATGTTTTGTACAGAGGCTTCCTGTATTAGGCCATCCTTGCATTGCTACCTGAGAGTGGATTATTTAGAAAGAAAAGATTTAATTGACTCACGGTTCTGCAGGCTGTATAAGCATTGATGCTGGCATCTGCTCAGCTTCTGGGAAAGCCTCAGGGAGCTTTTGCTCATGGTGGAAGGCGAAGTGAGAACAGGCACATAATTTGGTGAAAGCAGGAGCAACATAGAGAGTGGGGAGGAGGTGCCGTACACTTTTAAATGGCCAAATCTCATGTGAACTCAGAGTGAGAACTCACTTATCACCAAGGGCATGGCCCAAGCTATTCATGAGGGGTCCACCCCCATGATCCAAACATCTGCCATCAGGCCCCACCTCCAACATTGGAGATGACATTTTTTTTTCTTTGTTTTTGAGACAGAGTCTCACTTTGTCACTTAGGCTAGAGTGCAGTGGCACGATCACAGCTCACTGCAATCTCCGCCTCCTGGGTTCCAGTGATTCTTGTGCCTCAGCCTCTCAAGTAGCTGGGACTACAGGCGCAAAGCACCACACCTGGCTAATTTTTGTATATTTAGTAGAGAAGGGGTTTCGCCATGTTGCCCAGGCTGGCCTCGAACTCTTGGCCTCAAGTGATCCACCCATCTCAGCCTCTCAAAGTGCTGAGATTAGAAGCATGAGCCACCACGAACATGAGATTTGGGTGGGAACAAATATCCAAACTATATTACCTCCCTGTCCCGCTTTCCTGTGCATCTCTGCACATTTTCTGAGGAATTACCATATTGCTTGTACATCAGAGTGGAGGCTGGTCCCCTCATTGTATTCAGGGTTACACCTACACAGTGAGGTTGCAGGGTGTGTGTGGGGTTCCAGCCCCCCACTTAGTTGATTAGCCCTCCATCCTGATGATTGTGCAGGGCAGAAGATGAGTCTCCCCAGGGGAAGCAGAAGTTTTTACCTCTTAGTAAATGCCACTGAGGTTTTTCAGGTTACAGTAGTTCTTTGACTAAAGGAAGTCACAGTGCTGTTTATAAGTACTGATGTGGCCTTTGGTTGTACCACAAATTTAAGTTAAGATTGTGGAATCACCCTGAAAGGTTCTTTGCAAGAAACCATTTGAAGTAGGCCCAGATCCTCTGGCTGGTTAATGAACACAGGTAGTTTGTTCTTCTAACATAGTCATTTTCCCCTAACATCTTATTGTAAAAATAAATATAGCAACATTAAAACATTGTATAGTGAACCCCATATACCTATAATCTAGGTATCATCATTACTGTATTTGCTCTGTCACATATATATCCATCTATTCATCCTTCAGTCCATCTTAACTTTTTGATGTGTTTCAAAGTAAATTGCAGACATCAATATACTTCTCCCTATTACTTCACTGCCACCATAGTTATTTTGGAAGAAGCATGGAGAGTAAGAATTTTATGCTCTTAAACTTTAGAAGGCTCTTCCCACAAATAATTTTTGATGATTTCTGATTTAGAATTGATAGTAAGGTTTGAAATAGGAGATCCTTTTTGTTCATTTTCATTGCTGTTTCTCTTTGAGTTTTTTCTTTTTCTTTTTTTCTTTTTTTTTTTTGTCTTTCAAGTTTTGCTCTAGGGCAGAGTTCACAAAAGTAGAGCTCCAGGCAAAAATAATTTGGGTGTAACCTTAGAGTTGGGTTTCTAACTTTGAGAGAAGAGTATAACCTGTCAATCACTTTAGCATTTCTCTTGGGTAAATGTCTTTTAAAAATGCAACTATCCTTATATATTTTTGAAATACAGTGAATAATTGCTCCTAGTTACAATTAAAGGGGTAGGTTTTATTAACCCTAACATTCTTCCATTGAGGGTCTGTTAAGCTTAGATGAAATTGTCCAATGAGAAAAAATTATCCTACGACATCTTTTGGTTATCAAGTTTAAAATATCAAATAATTGATGCCTTTTCACTTTAGCTTAGTGGTTCTCTAACAGTATAATGAGGGTTGTTTGGGGAACTTGGTAAAGACACAGATTCTCTTCCATCTCTGTGGAATTCTGCGTCATAGGCCGGGAGCGTCCTAGGGGTCTTTAACACTTGTCCTAGGTGATTCCAACACAGGTAGTCAGAGAGCCATACTTTGGTAAACATTGCTGTATGATCGTTTGGAAATTATTGGGTCTGATAATTGGGACTTAATGTAACCACACTCACTGTGTCTCCTTTTGGCTTTCTTGAATGCTGTAACGATGGCTCTCATAACAGATCGCGGTGAACGCCAGCACCATCCCTGAACAAATACAGTCCTTGTCTGTGCATGACTCTCAGGTATGTTTCTCTGCCAGTCATTCCGTTTGAGATGCTTTGTAGACAGATCTTTTAAAAAAGCAGCGTTTTAGAAAGATGGACAATTTCCAGGTAGTGCCTCCAAATCAAGGGCTTATAAGCTCTCTTTTTAAATAGGTTGCTATTGACCGTACTTTGTGGGACCTCCAACCTTTAAATGATAGGCTCAGGAGTGAGAATTGATTACCAGACTGCTCCTCAAATTGCTGGTACTGTGGAAAAGAAGAAAAGGAAAGAAAACGACACCATTCTGTTATATTCCAGCCACAGAACATTGTGGTTAATTGATACTTTTCTTTTTTGCTCCTGGTTGGATTTCTGTAACCTGTTTTCATAATTCTGTTATCATTGAATTTTATGGGCCAATTCATCTCTACAACTTGCCTTGTAAAAATAATAGTCCAGTAACTGTGACATGCATTTATAATGCATATTTATTAAAGTTATGGGACAGAAGACGTGTGCTGTGAGTCATGGTGGGAGGTGATGAGGGATGCTGAGCAATCCATGGAAAGACCTAGGGGCATAGAACCAGAGCCCAGGCCTGCATTCTGGTTCTGCTGTATAATTAACAGGCAAGCCCTTTTGTTCTCAAAGTGGTTGTACTATAAAGCATTACCACTGTCAGGATCATAATTTTCTTTCTTTCAAACTCTACATATCCAATTTAAATTCATTTCTGTTTTACTTGGTCTGTGTTTTATAAAATTAACCATATATTGGGGAGATAATTAGAGTGATTTTGTTGGCTTCAGGAAGCCTGTTTGAGGTCAGATAGCTAATGCTGGGCCCTTATTTTATAGCTGAGGGAGTGAAGACTTACAGAGGTGAAGTTCCCCCACAGTCACACCACTGGTTAGAGGCCGAGTCAGGATTCGGTTTAGGTCTTTGCACTGTATCAGGCAACTCAGTAAGAGACTTTGAGATAAACTGTAGGGATTGGTTGAATGATAAAAGGCAAGTTAAGAATAATAATGGATCAGAGGGCAAAGAGAGTAAAGGAAACAGGATCAGGGATTAGGATAACTAGTACTGTAGAGCATTTTATGACTCACTTTCATATATATCATTTTATTCTCCCTGCAGCCTTTTACGGTGGGCAGTATTCAGAGAATGGCTTGCTCATGGTTGCATTTCAGGTCAGTGGCAGAGCCAAGTCTTGACCTGAAATGCCTTATTTTTTCTACTCCAACAGTAAGGTCTACTCATGTCCCGGGATTCCCTGAGAACAGGGAGAGGCTGTGTATTGGAGACATTTGTGGTTAATAATCAGTATTCAAGAAAATGGGCTCTAGGTGAGAAAGGCAGGAAAGATAAACAGTGGCTGAATCTTCTGGGCCCCTCCTTCCTCTGCATTGCAGGGTTTAAGGTGCCCAGCCTTCGTGGTCCCCAAGTTTCAATGGTAACCGTCCATGGTGTGGCTTGTGAGGTGCCATTTTAGGTAGCTGGACTTACCACAGCTTATACAAGTTGTTCGTGATGCCATTCCTATGACTGAGGCTTTCCGTAGGAAACATTCATATCCACAATTGTGATGGGAATTAGGCACCATGACAACCTTTACATGGAGGTGTTACAATGTCAAACAAGGCCTGCGTGTGTAAAGATCTAGTTTTGAAATTTCCAGAAAGAAGTGGCTCTATGAATCGAGCGATATTGTGATTTTATTCATTCCTTTCCTGATGCAGTTTATAATGCTGTTGGCTGTTTTCCTTTTAGAGTCCACCCAGTGCTAATGAAGACTACAGAGAAGCTGCTTCTTGCGCTGTGAACCTCGTTTTGAGATTAAGGTAAATAATGCTGTTGTTTATTCTGCATTGTTTTTCCCATAGTACATTTTTTTTAATCTCCTTCGTTAACTTTTCATAATATTAGCATAAAATAAAATCGTTAGCTTATTTGATTTCCCCAAACCACGAGTGTATGCTGTATTCCCAGGGCTAATTGTGCTCTTCTAATTGCTTCCTAAAGAAGAGTAAGAAAGAAAAGCACTGTATGAGTGTGTCTGCAGGCTCAGTGTACCTTTCATTATGTTTTTTTTTCCTTGCCTTTTCTTTCTTAGGTTTTTTTTTTTTTTCTTTTTCTTTTTTTTTACAATGTAAGATCACAGTAAGAGATTTTTAATGAGTTTCTTTCACACTTCAGCAGTCGGTCTCTGACAGAAATAAACCATGCTTGTACTACAGGTTGCCTGTTCAGAACATTTTTCAGTGGCAAGTTTGATCAGCCACTGTGGAAAAATGACAGATATATTTTGAAAGAAATCTCAGTCTTCTAGGAAATGAATACAAATATGGTGCCTGACAGTACAGTCTTTGTCTGCAGTCGAGTGAATGAAAGCGTTTTCCGTTTTAAGGATTTTTTTTTAATTTTTTTATTTTTAAAGGTTCTTCTTTGTGATATTCGTTGCTAAGAATTTGATATCTCAAGACAGAACGGTTTAAACTGAATTATAAACAGCTTAGTTTACCAGCTCCATCAGAATACTGTCACATCTTTGAAGATGTTTTAAAAGAAGTTATACGTATTTCTTCTGACCATTAAACAAATAAAGCACGTGCATATACTAGGCATTTTCAGAGTTGTAGCTACAAAAAGCGGGTTCATCATCAAGGTTCATTTCTGGCCACTAGGGATTTTCAGAGTTGTAGCTACAAAAAGTGGGTTCATCCTCAAGGTTAGTTTCCACCCCTCTGAGTTATCATAGTCCATCTAAGTAGACCGTTGGCACCATAATCACCCCCACTTCTGATGGTCATTTATAGTCTTGCATTTTCACATATTTATCAAGGGAACCTCACAGTAACCCTTGGTGTGATTCAATTCAGAGTTAATTTCCCAGTCAAGAAGTGAAATTATTACAAGGCTGTTGTCCTTATATTTGACAGTAGCCTTGATGATTATTCACAGTTCATGAATTTAGCAGTCACTAAAGAATGAGATAGTCCATTTCCTTTTTGTCTGACTTTCGAACGAGGTACTTCTTTCATTTATATTTTACTTGTTCAGTTATTCATTAATTCAGCCCATATTTACGAGGAGCCCACTGTGCCAGGAGCTCTGTGCCAGGCTCATGTTTGTCATTGAGGTGCAATGGTGAGCAAGACTACCGAGGTTTTAGTCTAGCACACTGAGCATGCAGTGTTGGAAGTGACCTTTAGAATCCAACAGTCCAGTTGCCCACTTTATATATGCAGGAATCTTTTTTTTAGTGTCCCTGCTGATGTTTACCTAGCTTCTGTGCATACTAAAACTCACATTTTCTTCATGGTGGCCCCTTTAATACTAACAAAAACCTTAATTGTTGGATGGTTCTTCCTCCTTCTGAAGATTAAACTGACTTTTCTTTTCTGGGCTCCTGTGGGCTGTAATCCCCGTTAGTGCAAATATCAGACTGTCTGGATAAAAGTCTCCTGGAAAATGTGTTAAAACACGTACCACTGAGCCTTAACTTTAGATATTACTTCGTCCTGGGTACTAGAGCAATATAAGACAAATGTATTCCCTTATTTTTCTGAGAGCCATTTGTAAATTTGCGAGGAATGTTCTTCTCTTTTCTTAGACAAAATATTGTAAGAATCTTTAGCCTTTTTCTCATGATACAGTTTGTATATTGCTCTTGCAATCCTAGTTGCTCACCTTTATTAATATTTAGTCTGCATCTGCCTTTCTTATATTTTCTCTTGTGGGTGTAGGTTATTTTCATAAGTTTGTGGCTTAGATCACTAGTCCTACATGATGCTCCAGCAAGAAAGGGTTCTATGTTCAAATAAGTTAAAAAACAACGTACATTATTCATCAGTCTGTGCACAGGCACACACATGCACATACACTTTTTTTTTTTGGAAATCACAACGAATATTAACATATTAAATATTTTAAGTTCTATAAGAAGGGAATTTGTTGAACTTTCTTTCATCTAAAACCTATTTGACCTCATAACTCTTTTTATGTGGCTATTTTGTGTTCCTCTTGTATGTAGTGCCCATATTTAAATACAGGATTCCAGGTGTGGTCTGAGCAGGCTGGAATACAGTATTAAGAACATGTGTTTTTTTTTTTTTTTATCCACACTTTATATTTCTCAGCCCAGGTTTTCATTGCCTTTTGAAATGTCCATGCACATTGGTGACATGTTCAGCATGACTCAGCAGCCAAGCAAAACAGCTTATTTTTTTTTAAAGGGCTACAAGCCTAATTCTGAACTGCAACTCTAGATACAGCTTATCATTTATCACTAATAATCAACCTGATAGTTTTGATTCATTTCTTGTCCACTGTATACTTCAGTCATGATCATCAGTGTGTCATATTCCAGTGTTTAGATGTATGTCCATTGCCAATCTGATTAACCTGCATTTTAATCTTTATCCGAAACATTGATTAAGGTGTTTAGAAGTTTGAGGGAGAAGAGTCTCCTGACATCTGTTAGAAACCACTCACTGTTGGAGTGACTTTCAATAATGAACTAGTGTTCTTTGGTCCAGTTGTTCAACCAGTAACAAATGCAGTGCCTTTTAGTGGACATCTAACCCAATTATTCAGACGGATATCATAAAGGGATCTATTATATATGTTGCTGAAGTTAACACGTACCACATTAATGACATTTTCCTGAATCTAATGACATAGAAACACTTTCTAATAATAGAAATGTATTTTAGTATGACTTATTTTCACTGAACACTTGTTGATACCTAATTGTTGGTACATTTGTCTACTTAGGTTGCCATAAAAAAAATACCATAGACTAGGTGCCTGAAACAACAGAAATGTATTTTCTCATAGTTGTGGAGATCAGAATGTCAGTGTGGCTGGTTTCTGGTGAGGGCTGTCTTCTTGGCTTGCAGCTGTCTGTCTGCTTACTGAGTCCTCACATGGTGGAAAGGGAGTGAGGGCAAGCTCTCTGGTGTCTCTTGGGTCCCACCCTCATGAGCTCACCTAAACGTAATTACCTCCCAAAGGCTCCATCTCTAAATACCATCACATGGAGGGTTAGGACTTCAGCATATGATTTTTTTTTCAGGGTGGGCCACAATTCAGTACATAGCAGTTGGTATACTTTTGTTTTCACTAAATATTTACAAGCTAGTTATTTAGACTATTACTTTTCATATTTGTGAACTCATGAATCTCTCAGAAATTGTTGGAGTGGGGTGGAAAGCGGGCGGATGTCCTTGTACTTCAGTTTGAGAAATAGCCTTTGGAAGTTGTAAGTTAAACAGTATTAAACTTTTTTGAGATCACTGTGTTCTAAAGTAAATGAAAACGGTAAATACATTCATTCATTCTATAAATATTTATTGAGCACTTACTATGTGCATGGCATTGTTTCAGGTGCTGTAATGTATCAGTAGAAAAAAGAAAAGGCATACTTTTTGCCCTAAAGGAGCTTACTTTCTAGAGCCGGGGAGAGGAAAAATTCAAATATTCAAATTGCAAGTATGATATACCAAGTCGTCTGAAGGAAAATTTATGTCAGGAGGATAGAAAGTAAGGGGGATGGTATTCGATATTATAGAAGGTATATTAGATTTCTGTTGCTGTGTGAAAAGCTACCACAAACTTAGCAACTTAGAATAGCACCCATTTACTATCTCAGTTTCTGTAGGTTGGAAGTCCGGGTACAGTTGAGCCAGGGTAGTTTGCTCAGTGTCTCTCTGGCTGAAATTAAGGCATGCACTTCAGAGCTCATGGTCCTCTCCCAAGCCTTTCTGGGCTGCTGGCAGAATTTAGCTCCTTGCAGTTGTGGATTGAGACCCTGAGCTCCTATAGGCCACGAACAGTTTACAACATGACTGTTGCCCTTTCAGGAGCAGCTGTGGACCGTCTCCCCTACTCCACCCTCACGCCCAAGGCCTCAGTCTTTCTGTTCAAGGTTTTTTACCTGATTGAGCAGGCCTCACTTAGGATAATCTCTCTTTTGATGAACTCAGAATCAGCTGATCTGGAATTTTAATTACATCTTCACCTTTGCCATGCGACGTAACTTAATCGCAGGAGTGACGTCCCATCATAGTTACAGGTCCTGTTCATACTCAAAGGGAGAGGATGATGCAGGGTAGGTTCACTAGGGAATGGGTTTATTGGGGTCATCTTAGAATTCTGTCTACCACAGAAGGCTCTCCAAATTAAGTAATATTTGAACAGACCAAAGCAAACAGCGCTTGCAAATGTTTGAAGCAGGAAGCGTGTTATAAGCAATTGGAAAAACAGCCAGGAAACCAGTGCAGGCAGAGCCAAGGTCATGGGCACAGAGAGTTAGCAGGGGCCAAATCACATAGGGCTGCGTAGCCTGTGGTGAAGACTTTGGGTTTTACTGTTAGAGGGCAGAAAACCAGGAGGCCTGTGAGCAGAAGAGTGATATGATCTGAATAAAATTTTAAACAGAGAACTGCAATTGATCTGTAGAGAACAGACCATATAGAGACCTTATAAGATGGCTGTGAGAGTCCCTTGGCAGGCTACTGCCATGACATAGTGAAGGTGATGTGACTTGGACCAGAGTGAGGACTAACGGAAGTGGTAAGCAGTTATTGAATTCCGGGTTTGGGAGAAAGAACTTGATTACTCAAGGTTTTGGCCTGAAAGTATGGAGGAATGGAGTTACTATTTTCTGAAATGGGAAAGAGAGTTTGAGTTGCAGGTTGGGATGGAATAAAGAACTCAGTTTTGCACATGTTAAGCTTGTGTTGTCTGTGAGGACGTATCAGGTAGGGATTTGGATACAAGATTTCAAAGATGTCTGAGCTAGAGATGTAAATTTGGGAACAGTTGGTGCCCATGGCAT